CAAGCTACATTATAGGAAGCACAAAATATAACAGGAAAAAAAAAATTATAAAGCTTACATTTTCCAGGCCTTGAATTGCTGTCTTGGCATCTCTAGATCCACCAAAATAGACTCCCCAGAACCAAGCCTGGAAAATAATTCATCTGCCTTCTGGCGGGGTGGTCAGCGGAGGCAGAGGTGGGCGATAAATCGTCCCTGCAGCCGCCGCCGCTTGTGCGTGATACAGCCCCCGGACCATCCCGGTCCTGCTGGACCATCCCGGTCCTGCTGGACCACCCCGGTCCCATGGGAACCCAGGTGGGCAGAAGGCAGTGGGTCAAGTATTTTTTTATTTTTTTCAAGTACCAGGTTGTCGCACACACAGAGAGACAAGCAGAAAGCTGATCCGGAGAGAGGATTATCTTTGAAAGTGATATGTAAGCTCAAATCCCAACGTTCAGTCCAGAGCGCCAGTAACTGCTCGGCCTTTTCCCAGACCCGGAGGCTGGAAGCATCTTGCAGGGAACGAGTCACCCACGGGAGAACATCGCTCCCTCCTGCCAAGGTCTCTAGTGCTGCCAGTCCGCTAAGGAAACAGCTTTATGCTGTAACTGCATCGCTGGGATCTCAGCCAAGGCCAGATAAGCCCCAAAAAAGGCTCCTTTATTTTTGTGAAAATTAAAAATCTCAAAATAAATAAATCCCCAGCTTGTTAAACTCATTTTCTGTTCTGGACAGGCTCATGGGTGATGGCAGTGCCCAAACGCTTGTTTTCCTTTCAGGTTTTTTTGCTTTTCAAGCAATTTTCCCAGCTTACGGTTCAGAGGCCAGTGAGTAAATGTATTTACACGTTGCAGCACATCCTGCCCCGCGCAGGAACCCCTGACCTGGCCCGTACACTGACACCCCACCCCAGGGGTGATGGGCAGAGGTGGCTCCCGGGCTCAGCTCAAGCCTGTGCCGATGGCTGGGCTGGACAGGGACCAGCGTGATGGCCAACGGGGCTGATCAAACCATCTCGATGGGTATTTTTCCACTATTACCGTTGACTTACCAGCTTGAGAGCATCACCTCCTGCAGGTGTTTCCCAGGCGCCGGAGGGTTCCAGGCTATGGGGTGAGCGGATGGAAGGATCTGAAGCACTAACCAGAGACACTTCCATGAAGAACATCTCTCCAATGCTCAACAAATCCCCAAACCTGTACAATGCTGAACTGCATTTGAGGCTTGGACACACAGAAGAGGAGAAATAAGGCAGCAAACTCCATCTACAACAACTGTTTGTCTAAACACTGCTCGAGCTCTTCCCAGCACGCTGGCGAACGGCCGAGCGGCCAGCGGCCCTGGACCAAGGGCAAGGTGGGCAACCAGAACAGATGGGATTTCTTGCCAAACTCTGAAGTGTTTTGATTCGGTAAATAAATTTACGAGAACTTGGTTATCTTAACCTACTTTTCTGCAAGAACAATCTTGCCTTAAAAAAAAAAAAAAAAAAGAAAAAATAAATCAACAAAAACTCCCAAAACCCAACATATGAGGTATTCATCACAGGAAACCCAAAGACTCTTTCTGAACAGGTATCAAAATACATACATATACAACAATTTTTTTCTGCCATCACAGTGCACTCTAATTATTTAATCATTTTCATTGCAACAAAATATCCAGTACAGATAAAGTGAGAGAGTTTGATCATGTCCCACTGCTTCGACATGAAGAACAAATCCACAATTGATGAACTGCGAGCCTTTGGATTACCTTAGAGAGGCAGAAATTTCGCAATTATTAAAAGCACACTGCTCAAAATTCCCAACTAGGGAAGTAAAACAGAAAAGGTTAGAGCTTCAGAAACTATTACGATTGATCACCTAAAGTCGTATTTTATTTTAAAAGTTTTGCTTTGGATTATTTCAATCCAACATCAGATGAACAAGAATCCTTTGTTCATACAAAGCACTATCAAACAGACATACGGTATTCCAGTTATCAAACACTTCTTGTCTTTATATTTGACACAAACATTACATAAAAGTCATGAAAGAGAATTTCCATGGAAGAGCTAATATTTCTTCTGAATATGAAGACACGAAGTAACATTGAGACCTCCCCGAGCAAACCACCGTCTCGCACTTGTCCGCTCCACACTGGTCTCTCCTCCGGACGCCGACTGGTTCCGCAGGGAGCGGCGCCGACGTTTCCAGTTGCTCCTTCCCACCTCTCCTGCAGCGACCGCTCATCAAACACTCGTGGCAAACGTTCTCTCAGCCTTGTATGTTCACAGAGTGAAGCAGAACAAGCTAAAAGTTTCCTTTTATTTTTTTTATTTTTTTTGTTTTTTATTCTCCCGTATGTGTGCGTGTGTGGATTTTCTGCTGGCTGGCCAGGTCCGGAGCACGTGGAAGAGGAAGGACGATCTTCAGCCTGCCGTATTGCTTGCTGTAAGTGGAAGTGTCAATCACAGTGCACACCAAAATTCCAGTTGAGCTGCTCCATATAGAGGTTATCCTGCTAAGCATATTCCCCTTGACAGTAGGATTGTCCCAGAGCTGCGGATGCCAGAGATAAGCACAGTAACTCATGTACAGACAGTTGCTGTTACAGTAACCTGAAGTTTTAAATTTTTTTTTAATCTCAATTTCCATTCATACTTCAGACCTCGAGGATAGAAAAGAGCATCTCCTCCAAATGTGCTGTGCGTGGCTGGACACTTATTCTTAGAAACATGAATGCTAGGCATAAAAATATAAAGAAAATAAGGCATTACAAATGAGTCGAAGTAAATTGACAGAGATCCTGCTCTTGACACAGATTAACTTTGGTCATTCATGACCAAAAAGAAAACAAACCCAAAAAATTCCCTACTTAAAGTAAATGCCAGAAAGTTCTGCCTGAGCAAAAAATTACAAGTTTAGTTTGTTTTTTTTTTTTTCTTCCCCAAAAGAACAAGTGATTCCTTGGTGGTAGAAGTCCATCAGAACCTGAGAGCAAAGGTCGCTGGTCGCACTGCTGGGGATCCTCCCCGCGGGAGGAAGAGGGGCCGGTGACGGTCACACCCGTACCGCGGTGCTTCCGAGGGGAACCAGCAGCTACAGAAAAACCAGTAATAAGGAGTGTTCTCACTGAAACCTTTCCAGTGTTCCCCAATTTTCACGTGTTTTTGATTCAGGGCACGGAGAAAGCTGGGCTTTTTCAAAACCATCATTAATGTGGATATATCCCATCTGTGGGGACGGGGTGTGCGTGCAGGGACGGACAGGGACACGGCGTAACCCTGGCCATTTCTCCGAGTGACATCCTAAACGAATTGGAAAAGTACACTGAAGAAATTGTTCTTAGAAATGTAAGCTTTGTTTCTTCTTTTTTAACTAAGTGCCAATTAAAACGACATTGCAGCCACAACGAAGCCAAGTGTGAGAAACTCACAAATTTAAAAGAAACTCGGCTAAATGGGAGAGGAAAATGACTTGTCTCATCGTGTCCTTTCCTGAATTGAGTTGATGAAAACAAAAGATGTGCAGCTTTTTTTTTTTTTTTAATCCCAGAAAAGTTTGGGAACGAGGTGAACTGAGGCTCAGCCCGCGCTTCCTCTCTTGCGGGACCACGAGATCTTCTCCAACACCAAGTGGCACGTGACTTATTTTTTTCAAATTAAATACATGTTAGCATTGTGGAAAACTCTCAGTCGAGTACAAAAGAGTTCATGCAGCCTGCTAGCAGCTGAAGCATTTGCTGCCTACCATATAAATACAAACACTACGCATCCATTCACGTCCGCAGAGGCATGCCCGGCTACCAGCGAAGACGGGGGGGAAGCCACTCCAGAAGCCGTGTGCTGTCACGTCCCCGTCCCCAGCGGCGTTTCCTACAGCGCTCTATAAGAGCTGAGATCCCTAACGCAGTTCACAGCCGCCGCAGCCACCGACCGAAGCGTTTGCAACCAGCAAGAGGGAGAAGATACAAAGCTTGAGAACTTGGGATTGAAGTTTTTACAGTGCTCGGAACTGGGATTTTGGTAAGGATCCATCTTGATATATGATCAAAACAAGAGCGTGTGCGTTAGTAAATGGACTCCCATCAGAGTACGCTGAAGTTTTCCAAAGTTAACTTGTTTTTACATTCGGTCTCCCGAGACCACACACCACATCATAGCCTACGGGCTGAAAATGACACTGAGAAACAATAAAGCTGGTTTTCAACATGGGAGAGCAAAGGGGGAAAACAACGAGATTGTCCATAAGCAACAACTGGGCTCTTTCTTATGCTCCTAAACCTCAGGAACATGTTTGTTTATATTTGCACAGACACATATTACGTAGAACTCCACAAAACCTAAGAGTGTTCCAGAGTCAACTATTTTTCATGACAAGTGTCGACTAAAGGATGAGGCTGGACGGCCAAGAGCTTTGGCCCCAGGGGGAGGAACGGGGGAGCAAACAAACAAAACCAGAGGATGTGATGGAAGTCGAGACAGACCCTTAACCACCGTGGCACCAGTGGGCGACATAATCATAATAATAATAATGCACAAGAAACAGGCATGTCCAAGCTCCACGTAACCAGTGGCACCAAAACATGCAATAGACTAAAATCTATCCTATTGTTTCCCTGTGATAAATGAAACACAGAATATAGAAGTCACTACACCAGTATTCAAAACATGACGCCACTAAATATTTCTTTCAGTGGCCAAACACTTGAACAAGGCATCAACTAGAAACCAAGATCCAACTCATCGCTTTTTTGTGTGTTTTTCCTCCTCAGCTTCACAGTGACCCGAGATTGGATTTCCCAAGCGTGGCAGGAACTGTTTTGCCTTACGAACATCACTGATGAGGGTACGTGGGATGAGATTGTCTCCACTTGGTTCACTCCCAGGAAATGCTCCCAGCAGGAAGCAGCAGTTCACAACTAACCTTCAGTAGAAGTTCAAAAAAATTCGTTAAATAGGAACTTCGGAGTCTTTAACAGAGTCTCTTCATCTGAAACAACACAGTTATATCCACAGAGCAGCATCGAGTTTGTCAGACAGTACAGGACTTGTCAGCAGGCTGCTGAGATGCAGAGGAGGCAACGCCGGGGCTCGTGGCGTTGGTTTTGGGGAAAACCGTCGGCTTTGGCCGCGTCGCCGGAGGTTTCACCTGCGTGGCCATTTTGACCGACTTCACCGGCCTGAAGGTGCAAGGAATGTCCCCGGCCGTGCTGGCGCTGCGCTGGAAAGCCGGTTCAGTGTCCTTGAGGAGCTGGGTGTGCAGAGGGCTGGAAGGTTCCGAGGTGGGGGCCACCACCGGAGACGTTTTCAAAGGCTCCAGGGTGTCGAGGACAACATCTGGCGTGTGCTTGACGCTGCTCTGCCTCTCCAGCTCCCGCAGCTCGTTCAGAGCAGAGTTCATGGTAGCTTCGATATCCTGCAAAGACAAAAGAGAAACCGAGTGAATAACAGAACCCAGACACATACATACAGAGAGAAACGTCGGTCTTTGAGAACGGCGTGTTTGTTTTCAGCCAGTAAACACCAACGCTCAAACCAACTGGAGGGTCGAGGACCTTTAGGTGTCAACGTGAAACCCACGCCAAGCTACACAGCATCGCACACCGGAGCCAACAGGCGGTTATATCTTCCATCAACAGGGAGCAAAATAACTGCTAGCACTTTCTTGATGCTCATCTGGTTCTCTACTGGTCCTGATGCTGCTTGGACTTCAAAGACCAGTACAAGCCCCAAATACAGCAACAAACAGCAAAGCTAATGCGATTCAAAGGGTTAGGATCCATTCTTGTCCTTTATTTGGCAGGTGAGATTCAGGAGCGTAAGTTCCTGCAGAAAGGATTGATGATTTTGACACTGGCTGATGGGTCACACACCGAATGCTGAGATCCTTGTTTCCCTGCTGTTGGAGTTGTCTTCCCCCTCCCAGACAGCTATTACATGGGACTCCAAATTGTCATGTTTTAGAAACACAGAAGATATCAGAAACATATATAGGAATTTAAGCTGGCCCCTCTCCTTCCTCTTATAAAATATTACCGTTATTAACAAACAAATATAAAGAGAACTTTGGGATAAAAATGTGGCTTTTTTGCTCTCAGCTGTCGCAGGACCCACACGTTTGCTGCAGAATCCACCGGAGAGCAGGAGAGCTCAGCCTGCCTGTGACTCACAGCTTGGCTCCAGCTTTTTAGCTTCCTTAGAGGTTTTTCAGGGGGTGGGGAAGGTAAATCAGTCAAGGAACGGTGGAAGAAAGCAGAGACAGAAATCTGACACCTCCGAGGCTATCTTGAGGCCAGGCAGATTTTACTTATGAAGTTGGGGAAAATACGTCAAAGGCGTGATGATTATGAGATGGTGTTTGGACACTACAGGGCAAAGAGAAACACTAATTTAAACACAGCTTTTTTTTTTTTTTGCCCCACTGCTCTTTTTTTTTTTTTTTTTTTTTCCCCCCCCCTTTTTTTTTTTTTTTCCCCCCTCCTCTTTTCTTTTTCTCCCCGGACTCATCTCCAGTGAAAACAATGAAGTTAATGTTCTGGCAGGAAGAGGAGACAGAACAACTTAAGGTAGAGCTTAATTGAAAAAACAAAGAAACTGATTTATGTCAACCAAAGCCTTGGAAGGACAATAAAACATGAAGACAACAAGAACAGTATATTATAATTCCACTGGAATAAACGGGCTAAAGACACTAATAATGGCAAAATACAACTTTCCATGAGCGTATGTATTTTTATTGACTACTTTGTGAGTACCTCTGCAGAGAACATGCACAGAGACAAAGAATCAGTAATAAACCAGTCTGTGCCAAAACTAGCAACGATGAAGAAAAATACTAAGAACCCCTTTCCGTGGAAGCTGCACAGAAGGGATGTGAGAAGGCAGTTTCCTTGTTATCTGGTCAGCGTGCGGAGCCAGCCCCGAAAGCAGAGCTCTCTGCAGAGTGAAAACACAGCTGCAGGCGCTTCGGGAGCCTGCCCTCACTTCAAGGCACTTGTCTAAACAAATAACTAGTGAAAACTAGCAGTATTATGTTCAAAGGTGGTTTCTAATCACACACTGAACCCTGTGAGCATATAAAGATGCCACTGTGAGCACTGTACGGCTTTTATTTTGACTGCACTGCTCCATATGCTTCCAATGTCGCACCACAGGCGCGTTTGCACAGCCGGCAGGAGAACGTTGAATTGACACGAAAGACTTGACTCTTCTCATGTCTTGAAGTTATGATTGTTTAATTTTTTGCTGACAGCTTCGGAATCTGTATAATTTTCTGAAATGGACGTTTTTATTGTTGAAACTAAATTCTGAATCATGAACAGGGCCAAGGTTTTATGGAGGGAGGACGTGACCGTTTACCTCCGCTCCCGAAAGCAGCCTCAGTGACTCACACAAAGCGAGGCTGAAAGACTGGGCTCAAGCTGGGGAGTAAGTTAATATCGCATTGTGAGAAGGGAAGGAATATGAGATTAAATCAGAGCTTGCAGTAAAACATCTCATTGTACCCAACATCCTTGACGGTTCCAAAACAAATCTTTAAGGCGAAGCACCCCTACGTACCTGTGCGATAACTTCAGGGTCCATGGGCCGATGGTTGTTGAAGCTCTTGGACCTCCCCGCCGTCACGGTTTTCCGGATCTGCGGGCTGTCTATCCTGTTCTTCAGAGACGAGTGCCGGCTGATAGAATTGAGGCTGCCGTGGCCACTGATGGAGCATTTATCTGGAACCTCCTTGGGAAGACTTTGGCTCATAATGGGCTGAGATGAGGGTCTGGAACTGGCTATGGCTCCTGGGGAGGCTGGTTCTGCCATTGAACTACCTAGTCCGTGGCTGTCACTTTGACGGAAGGCTCTTCTGATGCTGCCTGACTCTGGTTTCTTTCTTTGCCTTCAGTCACAAAAGCAAAACAAGTCAATGCAAGCAGGTACACATAACGGGCTGTCATTTGACGATATCCCCCCAAAACAACACAGAGGACAATGGGAAGACACAGAAAGATGCTCAGATTACAAATACACCCAGGATTGTAAGAGTCATCGTGAAACAGTAAAATTATAAATCATTCCAGTGTAACGCTTCTAACAACAAGAGTGAGTTCCTGCAGCTGTGCACATTCATAGCAAAACCAGAAAACTCGGATGGAACATAATTAACTTGGTCAAGAAGAAAATCATTTATATTTGAACAAAAAAAACCCCAAAAAAACAACAAACCCTCTGTGCCATCAACAGGTTTTGATGATGTGTTTTTATTACATTAGAAGAGCAGAGCTACAATTTTTGACTGGAGGACGCAGTATAAGTCTACTAAGCTCCTGGCCCAAGGCATCAAGTTGTTATTTTCAGAGATCGGAAAGCAAAGAACCCCATAGTTAGGGGGTAACGATCATTTCCAATACTTGCTGGTGGTAACAGATGTTTCTTTTTCATTGCTTTAGCAGGCCCATGAGGCATTATCTATGTTGGGCTACAGATACACCAAAAGATGATGTCAAATGGATGAGCTGGTCCAAACAATTTAGTTTCTACCCCAGCACCATGTGGTCTGACAGCATGATTCCATTCAAATCATACGAAGGCCAATGCAGCAGAATACTTTATGCCATAGGTCTGAAGCTTGGCATCCATTATACAGGGAAGGATCCATTTATAGATAGCACCAGCCCCATGAAAAACTGCAAGAAAGTGTTAACTCCAGTAGGATTTTGGCATCCAAATAATAATTCAGTGGGTGGCACAACTGTCATTGCGAAACCATCTGATTTAATTTTGCTCAAGTCTGTTCACACATAGGTCAGAAGATTCATTCCTAAAGAAAAAACAACAAAATGAGTCTTATGCTACTATTGCTAAATATCAGTTTCCCTAATAAAGGGAAAAAACCTGGAGTGGACATTACCTACGCTTCTTAAAACCACGACATACAACACTACCAAAACCGGCAGACGGTGAAGCTCCAGCATAGCTCTGTTCCTTACACAAATCTTTCCATAACTGGCAGAATGGCATGCTTCAATGGCTCAGACAACAAATATCATAAAAGAAAGCCCAGATCCCAAGCTGGTGCAGATTAACATAGCTTCACTGGTATCAACGGAGCTCTGCCGACTCCCAGAAACTAAGGACCAGGCTCTGTGTAGGACATTAGCAGGTCCAAACCTTTAAAGAGGATGCATTTGTTAATGCCTTTATAGATCACATTCTGCTAAATTAACTGAAGGTTAAAAATATCCACTCCTGTAAAACTGTAATTATCATATTAATAACTTCACTGCACAACAGAGAGATGTGGGTGGTTTTTAATATGAAGGAAATAATCAGAAAGATATGGGGGATAAGCCTGCTGTAGAATAATGAAATAACAGATGAAGAAATTTAGTCTGTTACTAGCTTGATTTGCTGGGTTTTTTTATTCTGCTGAGTGTTGGCTAAAGTAACAATTCCTGGCTGAGGAGGTAAAGCCAGAGCAAGAGGGAGGTGTGCTGTGTCCCTGCAAGCATATGGTTAGTAACCCAAGGTGAGAAGTGCTGCAGAAACGAAAGAATGTTACGGGCAATGCCAGATGGTGGGACTTAAGGTATGTCATTTCGCACAAAATGCGACACTAGTTTCTCAAGAAATTGTCCCCCAACCCATAAAACAAAACATGTTAAACGTAAACGAGACATAACAAACCACAGAACATTACACAGAATGGGAACACACGGTTACAAGAGCTCACTCCGCTGTTCCCCCCCTTCCTCTGTGTGTTTAGCTTGTAAAATAGGAAAATGGGAACAGACGGCACCTTAGGGATGGAGAAGAGAAGCCAATGGGATTTTAAATCAGCGTTGGCCACACTGGTGACAGAGAGGGAGGACAGCAAAATGCGAGCAAGTTAGAACAGGAAGAAGCAGAGAAAAATGGTGGCAGGGCTCATTAATTAACCTTTTTCGGGAAAGGAAATATTTTGCTGGACTCGTCACCAGGATCTTTACAGTTAAATCAAATAATGCAAGGCTGTTCTTACTTGTTGATGTTTGCAAGGTAAATATCTGCGACGTGACCCCCACTTGGGCAACCGGCACCAGCTCGAGCCGTCACTTTTTCTTCCGGTGGCTCAGAATTTATTTCTATTTCAGACTTCGGACTGGATCTTTCCGAGATACCATCCTCCCTAGGAAGGAGGAGGGAAGGAAATCACAATCAAAGCAAGCCCAAGAGCACTGAATTTCAAACACAGCACTGTGTACATGAACAGCCAGACAGGACAGCAGCACCGTGCTGGCATCCTCCTCTTAAGAATCATTATTTGTCTTTCAAGCGACAGAGCCTGATTTCTGTGAGCAACCTGGAGACCCCAGCTCCGCATCGTTACCAGGCTGCCAGCACCAGAGCAATTTTTCTATCGTGCCTCCCCATACACGGACACCTACGCCTCTGCGGAGCTCTGCGTGTGCCGGGAGGATTCCCTTCCTGCAGGGAAGGGCGAAGGATGAACTCTCCCCACCTGGTGCCAACATCCCGGCACAGCCACTCCATTCCACACTTGAGATTTAAGCCAACCCATCTCGCAGATGGGCTTCAAGCGCAAACATACGTGTCTTGAACGACGATGTACTGATGAGGAATAAGGCCGTCAATTCCATTGTGGCGTCCCTCCCACCAGTCATCTGAGGCCCGCTGATAGAGCAAGAGAGAAGCTCCTTTTTTAAAGGACAGCTCTCGTGCAGTCCTGCCAAGGTAGTCGAACTTCGCTATCGCTTCTATGGGCTCACACTCTAGGAGATAGAAGGGAATAAACAACAATTCACTAAACACTTGGGCTCACGTAAGTATTCAACAGTTTACACCTACCACAAAACAGCTTCTGATGAGAGCATGGAATAAAGCGTTGCTTCTTGCTGCAGCAGAGGGGTGAGGCAGTAAGACTCAGAGGGGAACCCCGATAATATGAGGATGTTGCTATTTCAGCATTTACCTAATTTCTGTGCCATGGACACATTCGTGTTTCCCAAGTCACCAACCCACTTACAGCAATTCAGTGTACAAAGATGGGAATGGCAATGGCAAAATTAGTATCTCATTAAAAAAAAAATTAAAAAAAAAATTCAAAGCTGGGTAGCAACCACATACCTTAGTGTACAAAGATGGGAATGGCAATGGCAAAATTAGTATCTCATTAAAAAAAAAATTAAAAAAAAAAATTCAAAGCTGGGTAGCAATTACATACCTTCCAGACAAAAATCTGCCTACGGTACGCCTTCCTAAAGGCAGCTAAACGAAACCTCCTGGGCAGGCAGGCAGGAGTTGGGATTAGCATTTAAGGAGGGAAACATCCTCCGATTCCAAACGGCTTCAGAAATAAAGCGTCTATTGAGAAGGAAATTTCTGCTGCCTGTGAGGTTCACCTGACCCAGGAGACCGGATTCTGGCACCGTGGGAGGCCGTGCTATTCATCGAACTGTCATGGAAGCGAACAAAAACATTCAGTGCCTCCAC